AATAATTTTTGAAGGGGAATAAAGTCATTATAATTTGAGTTGGAATATATCATATACAAAGAATTTCATCAAACAGCAAACGCAATTAGTTATCAGTTCTACGGCCGATTAAATAATTGACTTTAGTGAAACCGGCCCAAATGGTGGTTGGTTTCCATATAAGAAGCATGCACGCTTAGCGCTTTTTTTACCTTTTTTTTAAAAAGATAAGTTTAAGTAAATAACAAGAAACAGTATACCATTTCTGTTTTATTTTTTAATTCGATAGATAGAATTTAAATAGTTAAGATTGTAGCATCTGAATTTTAATTTTTCATTTAATTTTCATGATATTAATTTTTATTATATCATATTTATTAATTTTGATCAAGGTGAGCTTCCTAACCATCGGAATAATTAATTATAATTTCAAAAATTTTTTGATACATTAGTTTTACATTTTCTTTATTTCGAGAATTTCAAAATTTCTTTCCCCCTTTTTTCTTTTTTACTGCATTCTTATCTGGATTTAATTCTGGCATTTATACTCTCGAGGTGAGGAAGATCACCATGACTAGTTAATAATTGTTATTTTCTATGTATGTGAATTTATTAGTTATCTCTGAAGAAGGCTCAAAAATGAGCCGAAACATGTAAGCGCTTTAGTAAAATAAAGAAGTTTCACGCTACGATAGTCGTGTTATTTGCGCAACATCTCCCGCGCTTGACTCCTACTGCCCTTGTTCTTTCATTGTTTTTTGATTTATAAGGAGTCTTAGTCAGGTGGATTTATTATACGATATTAATTTTTTTCGAAGAGTAATAATTTTTGATAGATATTATGAATTATCCTTATGATATCCTTCTTGACATTCAGAGAGTGACAAAGATAGAACAACATTTGTATCAACTTGTGTCGACTTGTGTCATCAAATGCAAAGCACCCACTTATCATTTAGGTTTTATCATATTAGGTATCGATATAGTATAACCTAGACATCCACTTCCTCCATGGCGAATACCTAGACACCCATTTTCTCGACGACGAATACCTAGACACTCATTTTTCCGACGGCGAACACCTAGATACTTACTTCCTCGACAGCGAACATGTAGACAACACATAGACACCTAATTCCTCGACGGCGGACACCTAGACACCCACTTCCTCGATGGCGAACACCTAGACATTCATTTCCTCAATAACGAACACCTAGACACCCACTTCCTCGACGGCGATCACCTAGAAACCCATTTCCTCGACGGCGAACATCTAGACACCCACTTCTTCGACGGCGAACACCTAGACGCTCACTTTCTCGACAGCGAACACCCAGACACCCACTTCCTCGACGGCGATCACCTAGAAACCCACTTCTTCGACTACGAACACCTAGACACCCACTTCCTCGATGGCGAACACCTAGGCACCAACTTCCTCGACGACGAACACCTAGACACCCACTTCCTCAACGGCGAACATGTAGACAACACCTAGACACTTAATTCCTCGAAGGCGAACATCTAGACACCCACTTCCTCGATGGCGAACACCTAGACACCCATTTCCTCAACGGCGAACACCTAGACACCCACTTCTTCAACGGCGATCACCTAGAAACTCATTTCCTCGACGGCGAACACCTAGACACTCATTTCCTCGACGGCGAACACCTAGACACTCATTTCCTCGACGGCGAACACCTAGACAC